CGCGGCACGCGCGTGCACCCCGGCACGCCTCGTGCCGCGCGCATCGCTCCCCAGCGGCAGCGCCGGCGCTGAGTCAGCGCGCGCCGTGCCCGCGCCGCGCATGTGCCCGCCCCCTGCAGATCCGGCAGCGGCTGTGGGTGCGCAACGGCCAGCAGCTGCTGCGCCTGGAGGCCTTCTACAGCAGCCCCTACTGGTGAGGGGGCCTGGGGGGGGGGGCACGTGGGCTGCTGAGCACCAGGCTGCCTACCGGCACCGGTCCCCCTGTTCTGCTGTGCCTGAAGCGCTGCCCCACCGCTGCCTGCCTGTGCCACAGGAGCGACCACGGCCTGGACTGCGACCTGCTGGCGGTGCAGGCGTGGCTGGCCTCCACCCCCGACGTGGGCTCGGCCCTGGGCTTCTTCGTCTACAACAGCGGCGCCGCCGTGGTGCTGCGCTGCAACGGCAAGGCGGACGCGGCGGCGGCGGCGGCGGTGCTGCAGGACCCGCGGCGGCCGCCCGAGATGCTGCGCCTGTGCGCCGACTGGCTGCGCCTGCTGGTGCGCCCGCCGCCGCCTGCAGCGCCCGCTGGCGGCGCTGGCTGGCGGGCCCGCCTTGTGCTGTGCGCTGCACCCAATGGCAGCGGCTGATGGGCGGCAGCTGACCCCGCTGCCGCTCCCCACCCCCCCACCTGCACCACCCTCGCAGGTCCAGGTGCTGCGGGAGCGCGCCTGCTGGCACCCCACCTACTCGCCGCTGGCGCTGCGCCGCGCGCTGGTGCACACGCTGGCAGCAGGCGCGCCGCTGCTGCTGCCGCTGGCGGGTGCTGCTGCTGCTGCTGCTGCTGCTGCTGCTGCTGCCGCTGCCACCGCCGCTGCCGCTTGGTCTTCTGCTGTTGCTGGCGCTGAGCCGCCTCCTTCCAGGCGCACCCCGCCAGCTTGCATCCTTTCTGCCGCAAGCGCCGCTGCCCACGCCGCCACGCTGTGCTGCGCCTGTGTGCTGCAGGTCCCCGCAGGCACAGCGAGGTGGGGGATGAGCTGCCGTACGAGCTGTCCCACAGCCCGCACTTTGACCAGGCAAGCTGCCGGTGCCGCCGAGGCCGCCGCTCCTGCAGCGCTGGCTCCCTCTGACTGGTGCTGGTTCGCTGGTGCAGCCGCAGCAGGGCGGAGCGTGCCCGAGTGCGGCGCTGGGCGGCCGGCCGCTTTGTTGTTCTGCCTGCCTCCCTTGTGGCAGATGCCTGCCTCCCATCCCGCCTGCAGGCCCTGGCAGAGGTGGCCGACTACCGCCCGCCCACCGCCGCCTCCACGGGGGAGTACAGCCTCAGGAGCGAGTGCTGGCGTGAGTTCGACCCTTTCTACCTTCACTACACGCCGTGAGCCGGGCTGCTGCGCTGGGGCTGGCAGCGTGCTGCGCGCTTCCATTCTGCTGTGTGTTGCCTGCCGTGCCTGCCTTTGTGGGGGGATAGGTGCTCAGCTGTTGAGGCCCCCATGTTGCTTGCTGTCCTTGAGGCCTAGGCCGGCCTCACGTTGCCTTTGCCTCTCCCCCACCTGCCCGCAGGCGCCAGCTCCAGTCGGCGCTGCACACCGCACAGGAGGGCAGCGTGTGGCAGCCGCAGTGGCAGCTGCAGCTTGGCATCCCAGCGCTGCCTCCCCCCATGGCGAGCCTGCAGCGTGTGACAAACCACGTGCTGAGATTGGTGTGGACTGCACTGCTGGCTGCCTGTGTCAACTCCGGCGGAGGCGGCGGCGGCGGTGCGGCAGAGGACTGCGCTCTGGCCGCCGTCAGCCTGCTGTCACTGGCTCTGCAGTGCAAGGCGGTCGGGTTGGCAGCACTGATACGCGGCAGCGAGAGGGGGGGCGCCGAGTCCTCAGCAGCAGCAGCAGCAGCAGCAGATCCGCTGCTGCCGGCGGCTTGGGCCACGCCTGCCGGCTTCCTGCAAAAGTGCGAGGAGCACCTGGCAGGCAGCTCGCGCCAGCAGGTGGGCATCATCTATCTGCTGCAGGTGCTGGCTGGCAGCGAGCCCTGGGTGCTAGATGGCAGCCGGCAGGAGGGCTCTTGGGAGCTGAAGGCCTGTGCCACCGCTGCGGCAGCCGAAGCACAGCAGCTGCTGCAGGCAGCGCGGCAGAATCTTGGCGCTCAGCAGGCAGCAGAGGCTGGCACAGCCGGGCAAGCAGCAGACGCTGCCGGGGAGGCTGCACCCTCGCGGGCGCCAGTCCCAGAAGCAGCTGATGCCGCTGATGTCGACGCATCAGAGCAGCAAGAGCAGAGCTTGCGCAAGCAGCCGGGAAAGCAGCGCCAACAGCAAATGCTGGCCCGCATGCGGGCGCAGCAGGCCAAGGCCGCCGCAGCGCTTTTAGATGAGGAGACGGAGTGCGAGCCTCAACAGCCAGCGGCTGCAGCTCAGGCCGAGCCAGCAGAGCCTATGGATGTTGATGCAGCAGGCAGCCAGGCCCCAGCTGCGGCAGCAGCAGCAGACAGGAGGCTGCCAGCACACCACCCTGCGGCCTGGGAGGCGCACCGGGCGGAGTGCGTGCTGTGCCACACCGGCAGCGAGACGGCGCCGCTGGGGCTGGTGGCGCAGCTGCAGGTGACCGTGTTGCCAGTGCTGGCCTCTGCAGATCCAGCAGCGCCTCTCACGCCAGAACATCCAGGTCAGCCAGCCGGGTCCATCTTTGCAGCTGCAACTGACAGCTCTGCAGCCTCAGAGGAGGCTGGCGGAGCGGCAGTCTTCCCGGCCGGCGGCGCTGGCCCCCGGCTGTCGGTGTTTGACCGCCAGCCCTCCATGCACTTGCTGTGCTGCGGGCACATCATGCATGCATCCTGCCTGGAGCGGTACAGGTGTGTGGCGGGGGCTGCGCTGTGTGGGGCGAGGAGGCTGTGCCTGGGCACGCTGCCAGCAGCCCCCTGCCTGATGCTCATGTTTGCCCGCCTGCAATCTTCACCTTCTCGAGCTTTGAGCCAGAGTTGTGCCTGCTTGCTGCAGATCTAGCTGGCGCCAGCGCATCGCTTCTGGCCAGTTTGTGGAGGGCTTCCAACTGCTGGAGTCCTCGGCCTCGGCAGGTGAGCGGCCTTGGCGTTGCTGCTGTATGATGGCTTCCTGCTGGAGCAGTGCCTGGACCCTAGTCACGCACTGCCCATTGCTCCTGCCAACGTGTTGCCGCCGTTGGCAGCGGATCCGGAGGCCGGTCCAGCATGCTAGCAAGGTGTCGGCCCCCACCCTGCTTTCCATCTTTGTTGCTGCTGCCCTCTATTGCTGCAGGCGAGTACCTGTGCCCCATCTGCCGCCGCTTGGGCAACTGCCTGCTTCCCCTGGCAGTGCCACTCACCACTGATGGCGGCTTTCTGCAGCCAGCAGCCGCCCAACAGCAGCAAGCGCAGCCGCCACCCAGCGCCCAGCAGGCGGTGCAGCAAGTAGAGCAGCTCCTTCATGGGGAGGCCAGCTGGGCCACTGCTCCTGCCACATCCAGCCAGGCGTTGCAGCAGCAGTGGCAGCAGGCGCAGGCGGGGGCCAGCAGCGGCTCAGCAGAATCCCCGCCATCTGCACAACTGCAGCCGGAGGCGGTGCAGCTGCTGCCGCGGCTCGGGTGCCACGCTGCTGGCGCCGCTGCTCTCTGTGAGTTTGCCAGGCTGGCAGGGTCCAAGTGGATGCTGCAGCAGCAGTGGCTGCTGGAGTGGCTGCAGCACAAAGGTGAGGTAAAGCTGGGGCGCCCAGTTGGTGTCGAAGCGCCTTAACATGCGGCGCAAGCTGTTGCGGCTGAGCGCTGCTGTCATGATGCCCTTGTGCTGACTAGTTTGCCGTCCACTATGACTTTGCAATTTGCAGCGTCTGAGCAGGAGGATGGCGCTGCCTTGTGGGGTATTCCCGTGGCGGTTGCAGCGGAGGAGGCAGCCACTGAGCCGGCTGGCCCGCCCTCGTTGCAGACGGCGCTGCAGCAGCTGCTGCAGCAGGCGGGTGGTGAGGGCGGCCCTGCAGCCACGGAGGAGGCAATGGATGCCTTTGCCCAGGCTGCTGCTGCAATGGTGGTTTTGGTTGGCCCAGAGGACGAGCAGCTCGCGGAGGATGGCAGCTCTGAGGAAGAGCAGGAGGAAGTGGAAGCGGAGGGGCTTCCTGGCGGCGAAGTGGAGGCAGTGTTTGAGCAGCTGCAGCAGCAGGTGGAGGAGGCCGCAGAGGAGGCCGCAGCGGTGCAGTTGATAGCCCGATTACAGGCGCCAACATACCCTCCTTCGCACACACCCGCACAGGCAGCAGCCCTGGCAGCCGGCCCGCTGGCCAGCGCCCTGAGCCAGCACACCCGGCGTTTCTGGGCCGCGGCCGCAGCCGGCAGCATGTTGTGCTCGTTGCTGGGTAGCGGCATCGGTCAATGGGAGGTGGCGCATCGCGAGCCTGGATGTGAGTGACAAGGGTGCTCCTGTGGCCTCTGGTGTTGCTGCACTCGCAGACTGCCGCATTGTTTCTGCTTGATGTATGTGGCTACCTGGCTCTCCACTCACGTCGTCCTGCCTCACCCATGCCGCCTGCTACATTGTGTCCTGCGTCCTCCCCAGCAGGCAATCCATCCCCGGAGGTGGACGCCGCGCACTGGCGCGCGCTGCAGTCGCTGGCCCAGCTCGCTCTGGCAGCAGGGGCTGCTCCCCCCGACCACTCTGTTGCTGTCAGCGTGCTGCAGCAGGTGGCGGCGGGCAGTTTGCCGCAGCTGAGCGAGCGTGATGGCACAGACCTCTCGGCAGATGCGTCGGCCGCGCTGCTGCCAGGGCTGATCCAGCTGCAGGTGCCGCCAGCCCCTGGCCGTTACTGCTGCTCTCAGGTGAGGAAGCGCTGCGGCTGCTGGGGCGTGAGCAGCAGATGTTTGTTGCGTGGCGCACCTGAAGCAGGTTGATTTCACAATATCAACAGCATGTGTTGGGCCACTGCTCGCTGCAGGACCCTTTTGCGCTGCTGCTGGCGCTGGCGGTTGCTTTGGTCTCGCGGCCCAGCCAGCTGGGCGAGGTCGGCCTCAGCTGCAGTGCTCATACCGACCCCACCGCTGTGTTGGAGGCGGTGGTGGCTGCGGTCTACCCTGTTGCAGCAGGCCAGGCCGTGGCGCTGGCCACTGGCACAGCCCATTCGGCGGCCGATGCAGCGGCAGCCATGGCAGCGTCGCGGCCGTTGGCGCAGGCGCTGCACGGGGCTGTCAGCAGCCAGCTGCTGCCATGGCTGCGACGTGCGGCCTTGCTGCGTGATCTACTTCGCGGCCGGACGGCCCCTGCTGCACCAGCCTCGGCATCAGGGTCGGCAGCGGATGAAGCCATGGAGCTGCTGCAGCAGCTGCATCTCCCCTCGCTCACCTCAGCCCTACAGTCGCCCGCAGCTGGGTGCCTTGCTGTTGCCAGGGGCAGCTCATGCCCAGCACGCGGCGGCCTGGAGCTCAGCATTCTGGCTGGGCAGCAGTGGGAGGTGTCTTCGCTGCCGCTGCCTGCGGCACCCAAGCTGCTGCAGCTGCCAACCTCCTACCAGGTACGAGACAGTAGCTTGAAGCAAAGCCTGCAAAATTAAATAAGTGGACGTGCTGACGCACCATGCACGCATGGTTGCCTTCCCCTCTACCCGCAGGGCTGGTACCTGTCCCTCGGCAACAAGACCTGCTCCGTTTGCGGCCACCTCCCCTCTGAGCCTGCCTTGTGTTTGCGCTGCGGCGAGGTGTTGTGCTGCAGCAGCCGCCGCTGCCAGGGCCCGACACGCCAGGTGCGTTGTCGGTGGCTGATTGGTTGAATTTATTGTTGCTGCCCGTGTCTTTATTGCCTGGCTGCGCTGATGGCGTTCAATACCGCTGCTCCGTGCAGGGGACCTGCTTTGCGCATAGCCTGGCCTGCGGCAGCGGCACCTGTTGCTTCCTGATGGCCAAGATGACGCGGCTGCTGGTGATTCGCAAGAACAGGTAGGCATGGTGTGGTGAGCAACTCTGTTGGGTGTTGGCAGCGGGACGGTGAGGCTCACCGTTTCGCTTACGATGTCGGTGCTCGCAGGGCTACCTTCCTGACCTCGCCATACGTGGACAACCACGGGGAGGAAGACGTGCGGCTGCAGCGGGGCAAGTGAGTCCCTGCCAGATGGCTGGCAGGCTGGGCTGGCTGGCAGCGCGTGTTTTGTCACCCTTGCTGATTGAAAGGGGGTCGGTTGTTTGCTCTGCAGGCCGTTGTCGCTTCATGCCGACCGGCTACGCCACCTGGTGCAGCTATGGCGTGGTGCGGCCTTCGACTTTGACAGCCATGTGCTGCACACCGCCAAGTTTGCCAGCGTGCTGTGAGCCTTGTTGCTTGTAAATTAGCCTTGCGCGATTAGCAGGAGTTGGGGATGCAACACAAGCAGAATTGGCCCTTGATGGAAGGTGGCACTTACCACTCGGCGATGCCGATCTCTGCCATCTGCACCCTAAATCGGGGCAGGCACATGGGGTGAGTGGCCGTAGGGAGTGCAAGCAACCTGTCCAACGCAGTGTGCGCTGCTTGTGCGCAACTTGTTCTTTACGGGTGTAACAGACAGACAGCTGATGGTTGGGGGCACTTAGGGTTGTGCCACCACACGCGGTGCGCGGCGGTACATCCGCCGCCAGCTGGCACATGACGGTATGGATGATTCGTGGACCGTGGGAATAAGCTGTGGACCGTGGGATTAAAGTAGTACCGTGGGAATAAACTTGTGCACCATGGGAAGAGGTTCTACGTCGTGGGATTAACATTGTGCACCGCCGGCTTTTCTTTGGGCACGCAAAGCGTTCACTTGTGGAGGGTGAAACAACACTTGTACACCGTGCATGATACTTCACAAAACTGGGAACTTCCACCTTTTCGTTGTGCAGGGCTAGCAGTAACTTGTGCAACATGTGTGGAGCGCGGGCGCAAGATTGTGGAGGGTGGGACAACACTTGTGCACCCCAAGTAGAAAATTGGGGATGCATAACGCATACCTGTTGAGGGTTTGTGGATCTTGGGAAAAAGGTAAAGGTAAAGGTGGGGAAGAGCCTCCACAAGCTTAACTTCCCGGTTTTAACGTCTAGCTTTAGACCATTATTTGATCTGCCCGACGCGCCAAGTGCAGTACCCCTCACTAGTAGTGAATGGGTCCCGGGGAGGCCTGTGCCGAAGCCTTGGCGATTCTATTAGGCGTTCCCGAAGGAATTGGCTTGGATTGGCGCTGAGCCGGTCAGCTATGCCGCGTTTGTCCTCACAAAGTTTCGACATGAGAGGAATCGAACCTGTGCCCTCTCGGAGGGTTTAGACACTAGCTCCAGCGCCTTCAAAGAAGGCCGGGAAGTGCGTGTGCACCGCGGGATCAGCGGACGCGGCAGGGCCCCCAACGGCATTAAAGTTGTGGACCACGGAAATAAACTTGTGCACCCTGGGAAGAGGTTGTCGACCTGTTTGGGATCAAAGTTGTGCACCAATAGTTTTTTTTTTGGCAAGAAAGTAGTAAAGTTATGAGGGTCAAACAATACTTGTGCATCGTGCACGATACAATCGGCTTTTCCTGTCCTGGGGTGGCATTAAATTGTGCAGCGTGTGTGGAGCTTGGGCGCAAACTTATGGAGGGTGGGCAAACATTCCGTTGATCCCACGGTGGCGGCAAGGACTATAGTGCGCAATGAGGTGCAGAAGGTGTGGGAAGGCGCGAGGAGCTCCCGGGAGATGTAGGGCCGTGCGGGGTGGTCCCGGGCGTGTAGTGGAATCCTCTGGGTGCTTCCGGGACTTCAGGTGGACACTAATAGGGGGTTGAACTTTGAACTACAAAGTTTACCGCGGCGGCGCCAGCGTCTTTCATCTCTTGGTTGGCAGTGCCTTGAGCCGCCGTTGCCGCCGCCTGTGCAGGCTCCAGCTCGCTGCAAGGCCAGGAGCCGGCGAGCTGGACGGGGGGCGGCACGGCGGGCAAGGAGTTTGGCAAGCCCGCGGCCGCGGGGGCGGCGGCGGCGGGCCGCGCCGGCGGCGGCGACGGCCAGCAGCAGGCGGGGGCAGCGGTGCCCGAGGAGGTGCAGCCCGCCATCGTGGCTCGCGCCATGGGGCTGCTCAAGCAGGCGCAGGTGGGGGAGAGCGGGCTGACGAAGCATGTGGTGCTGCCCTGGCTCTTGTTTGGCCTTCTCCCAACCCTATCCCGCCCAACCCTGTGCGCCACCGCCTGCCGTCGCACCCGTATGCAACTCGCCCTGCCGACCCGACCTCACACCCACCCCATCCCCTGCCTGCCCGCCGCCGGCACCCTGCCAAAACACCCCATCAGCTGCGCAAATCCTACTTCCCCACGCGGTTGGGCACCCTTAATGAATATCGTTGATTGGCCGGTGCTCCTCCTCAGTGTGCCGCCATACCGTCCTGCTGCTTCGGGTGGTGCCTCTGTTCACCTACGTGGGTTTGGCAATTCACTTATGCACAGAAGCGGCTCCGTATGTATTTAGGGTTTGGGTTTAGGGGCTTTTTTTAGGGGCTTAGCATCCTTGGACAATTGCCCCCCCACAGAAAACATTGAGCCCCAGCCTTTGTGGGCATGTGGGGAGAGCAGTGACTGGTGCTGGTTCACAAACTGGGCATGCAAGTGGTGGGCAGTGACTGGCTGACTGGTGGTGTGCATTCGCCGCGTCGGGCGACTCGGCGCACGCGGCGCGCTTCCCCACCTCATGCATGTTTGCTCACCAGAACTTTGTGGTGTGGCATCCTGCTGACCAGCTGCCATTGCTTCAGCACTGCAGCAGGGAGAGGGTGTGTGGCAGGGTGGCTGAGCAGGGCTGTCCCAGCTATGGTGTGACAGCGGCGCGCGAGGACGCGGTGGCACAGTGTGCTAAGTGGTGTGTATGCATTCAATTTGTGCTGTTGAAAGTTTGGCTGGTAGGTATGAGTGTGAGGATTAAAAGACCGTCGGTGCTGACAGGAGATTCCACGTCAGCACGTCACAGCTTCGTTGCAGGTTCAGCAGGTCATCGAACGTGCCAGTTGGCCAGGTGCACATGCCCTGAAACCATGCTATACGAAGCCAATTCGAGCCATTGAAAGGGTGGCTGGCAGCCCTTTGTGTGACGAATGCAATGTGACAATCAGCACGTTTGTCTGATCGACGCCTGTATGGAGTTTCAGTTCGAGGATGACCACCCCTGCCTGCTGGCAGTTTTGCAGGAAGTGGTGCCGGGCATGTTTGACGAGGGGTATTTCGATGCCCCTGCATGCTTGCTTGCTTGCTTGCTTGTGTGGGCTTACAGTCTGGTTTCAGCAAGAACAAGCTTGCAGCACAGACTTTGTTGTTCGAGCAAGGAGGGATGAAGCAGTAGAACAACAGGCAGGACAGGCCAACTGACAGGTCACCGAGCGTTTAGTGTGTGAGCGGGCAGACAGTACTGCATGTCGTGGAGCAGGTGTGGTGCGGTAAGAGCAAAGGGGGTGGACATGAGAGTGGGGGTTCAGGGCGGGACTGCAGGCAGCGCAACGGTGGCGGTCAGCCAGTGCTGGTGACAGGCGGCAGCAAAGGCGGCGAGGCGGCACGGTTTCTGGCGGAGGAAGCGGTGGGGAGGATGGGGCTCAGCAAACAGGTCAGGAAAGTTGAGGCGCAGCGGGGCGTAAAGGGGGCAGGTGAGCAGCATGTGGGGGGCATCTTCAATGCCGTCGTGGCAGTGGGGGCAGACTCGCTGCTCTCGGGGGCGCCGCGTCCAGCGGCCGGTTTTTTAGGGTTTAGGGACAACTACAGCCAGCCAGTCATCATGTGTTTTCTCCCAAACCACATCGACTTTTCCCACCATTCTTTTCCCCACATACACCCTCAATATCAACCTATAAATGGGTGGTGCAATGGGCCTCATTAGTATTGCCATTCTCCCACACTCCCTCCAAAGGTGAGGGGCCTCCCCCACCCCAACCCACCCCCCTCTCTTTGTGCTTGGCTCGTTTAGTTGTGATGTGCCCACTTCGTCACCTTCCCAAGGGACTAGTGAGTTATATGGGAGGGTTTGGCGGGCTAAGTGTTGTGGTAGATGGGGCTTGCAAGTGGGGGGGAGTGGGTGCTCCCTCCCCTCCCCCTCCATCTCCCAACATCCTCCCCTCACCCCCCTCCCTCTCCCCTCCCTTGCCCTCCCCAGTGGTGCTAGTGCATGGTGGGAGTGTGTGTGGAGGGTTGTGGAGGTGTTGGAGGGGTGGGGCCGTGGAGATGGTGGTACAGTGGTCCATTTCCTTGATCATGGGTCCTTGCAGGATGGAAACATCATGCCTCCAAGTTCAACGATCCCGGTTTTGTGTCTTGCAGTCCCGGAGGTACGGCCTCGCCTCTCAGTTGCACAACGACGACATGCAACCCCTCCTTGATGAGATTGCAGCCTTCAAGTCATGGAGTGATCGGTGATCGGTCTCAACTTGAACCGCCAGCGGTAAGCCTGCCTAGGGACTGCCATCTTTCAACCCTATACCTTTGGACCCTTCGAACTTGCTTCCTTACAGGCCTGTCGCCCCCATCGAGGACGAGACATTCGACAGCAACGACAAGCAGCGCATCCTGTGCTACATGGGGTTCATCAACCTCTACCGGTGCCCACAATACTTGACCATGCCAAGCCTCATATGGTACACTCAGGTGAATTGGCGTTGCATCCCTTGACACTTTACACTTGGACTTTGCTGCTGGGAAGCTGCAGTGCTCTTGTCTTGAACCCTCTACCACCACCGCCACCCCTGTGGCGCCTTCCCCACATTCGGCAGTTACCATGGCTGATGGACTATATCTCTTACTTGGTGGAAGTTCGGGAGGCTGGTCAGGTACGACCTTGTGATGCCTTACCTACAATCAGCAATTGCTAAGCTTGATCATTGCAAGCTGCAGGCTTATGTGCGGAGCCACATTCTGACGTCCATCTACGTCTTGGACTTTCTCAAGTATGCCAAGGCACGTGGTGACGAGAAGCTGGAGGTGGAGAACATCATCCTAGCTTTGCAAAGGTTGTTGACCCAGGTGGGGCAAGTTGGTGCCTTGATTGCTGGGTGCCTCGGTCCTGGAACAAGGCAGCGTTGGCATGCTTGGCCTTGCAGGTCAAGTATGTGGCTGCCCCACCGAAGCCAAAGGACATGACCTCCCTGATGGCCCAGGACATGTTTGTTGAGTACTCGGTGCTAGCCAAGGCTGCCTACCGTCTGCTGGAGTGAGTGGCTGCCCTGCCTTCTATTCTCCCTGCTTTGTCATGCTTTACCCTGGCTGGGCAAGTTAGGCCTCCACTGCATATGCCTTCACACCCTCTATCCATCCCACACCACCCGTTTTTGGCCTGCAGCATCTGCAATGGCACTGTGGACAAGGTGTTGGGCACCGAGGAGGAGTGGGTGGAGCTCGGTGCAAGGCCGGACAGGTGGTGGGAGAAGGCATGGCTGTCACCAGAGGATGCACGGTTATGGCATGATGCCTGCATGGCCAGCATGGTGGCTGGCTACATTCCTTGCATGCGTCCCAAGGTGCTACGCACATTGAAGGTTCCAGACTACAGTGGGACCCCCTGCCATGTAGGTTTCTTGTGTTTGTTGGCTGCCATGGTGGGCTGCACTGCACTGCCTGCAGCTGGCCGCTTGAATGCGAGGTGTTAACTGCCACCCTCCCACCCTATCCGTTCAGGTTCCTGGCTGCAAGTTCAAGGGGTGTGTGGGCAACATCCTGTTCTGGAAGGACACGGAGAAGACCCAGCTGGCCTTCCGTGTGGCCCACCACAAGAGCCAGTGGAACTGGAACCAGGCCATTGAGGGGGTACTGCCTGTCACCCTGACTGCCCTGTTGCGTCCCTACATCCAAGCCTTCAGGGCCAGGCTGGTGCAGAACCGGTCTGTGGAGGTGAGCAGCAGTTCTGGTGGGGTGGGCTTACTTGACTTCACCTGGTGGCCTGGCTCCCACCCAGTTGCTGTGTGTCCCTTGGCTGCAGACCCTGTTCCTGAACCGTGGTGGGCAACCCTTCAGCTGTGCAGCCCTGACAGTGTACTACAGCAACATGTGAGTGGTTTCCTCAAGGGACAAGCCAAGGGGGGGCTTGTTCAATGCCCACCCACCCTGTACCTGTTGCCCTGCCCATGCTGTTGCAGGGTGAAGCGGCGCATGGGCATCAGTGCCCACATCACACCACACCGTGTGCGCCACATCCTGGTCAGCTTTGTGCAGGCCCGGCCAGAGATCTTTGCTGGGTGTGAGGACCAGATGGCCACCCTGATGGGGCACGCCTTGCGGCAGTGGCAGGTGCACCCCCTGCCAGCCCCTGCTTGCTTGCCCTTGCCTGCCCCTGCCTGCCCTTGACTGCCTGTCACCCTGCCTGGCGTAGGAGGTGTACGACCTGGCCATCAACAAGAGGAGTGTGGGTGGAGCCATTGCTGCCATGGGCACCATGGAGCGTTACCTGCGTGCCGACATGGAGGCGCCTGCTGGGGCGGCGGCAGCGGCGGGAGCGGCTGCGGCAGCGGCGCCTGTCCATGCTGGTGGTGTGGCGGATGGAGTGGATGGTGGTCAGCCCAGCCCCTCCAAGCGTCCCCGGGCGGGAGGTGACGTGGAGGCGGGCAGCGTTGAGGGGCACCGCCCGGGGCTCACCTTCCCCGCCGACGTGGCGGAGGCGGATGCGCCCGAGGTGGGGGTGGAGTCGGACTTGGTGGGTGAGCCCGATGCGGCGGCGGAGCATGATGATGACGATAGTGAGTTTGGCGATTTTCACATGGAGCTTGATGGGGACGACACGGCCTCGGATGATGAGGGGGGCGGGTTGGCCCCTGTGTCGGGCGGCGGAGCGGAGGAAGGCGGCGGTGGTGGCGGGGATGTGGCGGACGAGGCAGGCATTGATGTGGGCGGTGTAGGAGGGCCTGCTGGGCGTGTGGCTGAGTGGGTGATGGGCGGCAGTGGGTGAGAGGGTGTGTTTGTGCTCTCTTTGTGTTTTAGCTTAAAAAATGTAAAGTTGAGAGCTTGCAGGACGACGGGTGTTAGTCCCCCCCTAGCTTGTTTCCTTGTAGGGTTGTTGTTCTCTGGTGTGTGTGTGGTGTCCTGGACTCTTGAAGGTTTGAAGTTGGGAGATTTGCAGATGTGTTGTGTTGCAGGCTGCATGGTGTGTCGCTGTCAGGTTTGAGATTGGAAGCCTGGACGGAGTTGATGCTGGCAGCCTCCACATTCCAAGCTCTGCCCCTCCTCGCCCCTGTGTTGGGCCCCCTTTACATGCGTGTGTTCTCAACGATGCCAAAATCCTTGCACGAGCAGGGCTCGGCGTGCAGGGTGGCCCAGCGCCTTGAATTCCTGGCGATCTGCGGGTGGCAGTTGGTCTACGGCTGCCCAGTAGGCTCGCAGCAGTTTGCTTTCCCGGGCATTGTCTGCGTGTGTGCCCCACCTGCCGTGGGCAGGGTTCATGCAAGTCTTGAGGTCGCAGGCGACATGGCAGGCCAGCATGCCAGGCTCTGGAGGGGGGCCCCACACCAGGTACATGAGGGCCCTGAAGGCCACGATGGAGGGCTCGCCCTTCCGTTTGCCGCTGGACCATGGCTTCAACATGAGGCGGTTCTCGCTGTCCTTGTACACCCAAAGGTGGGGGCGGGGCTCGCCAGGGGGGGGCCCACGATAGTACACGGTGCGATCGACCTGCAAGGGAGCAGAGTGCAGGGTTCGAACTTGAACGAATGCCAGCTCGGCAGGGACCGGCTGTCGTTGCGGCCCTCAACAACGCCCACCTGGTGCACCAACATGCACACTTTCGGGAGGTTGTGGGAGGCGAAGCAGGCACATCCTTCAGAGGGCACGCTCGGGGGGAGGTTGTCGAAGAGTTGGGCCAGCAGGTCGAGCAGGATCTCCTTGCTCCAAGAAACCCCCTCCACGTGGGTGGGCCATGGCCGATCCTCGCTCAGAAAGGTGGGGGGTACCACGCCCCGCTGGCAATAGTGGGCCCTCCGATCCACCAAGTCCGGGTAGTTCACGGCGGGAAGGCGCCTGGCCTGGAGCATCAGCCGCCCCACACGGGCATATTTGGCGTCGGATGAGGCCATGACGGGAGGAATGGCGGCTGGGGGGCGAACTCGGCCCGGACGACTTCAAAGGGTGCAACTTTGGGTTTAGGGTTAGGGTTTAGGGGCTTAGCATCCTTGGACAATTGCCCCCCCACAGAAAACATTGAGCCCCAGCCTTTGTGGGCATGTGGGGAGAGCAGTGACTGGTGCTGGTTCACAAACTGGGCATGCAAGTGGTGGGCAGTGACTGGCTGACTGGTGGTGTGCATTCGCCGCGTCGGGCGGCTCGGCGCACGCGGCGCGCTTCCCCACCTCATGCATGTTTGCTCACCAGAACTTTGTGATGGGGCATCCTGCTGACCAGCTGCCATTGCTTCAGCACTGCAGCAGGGAGAGGGTGTGTGGCAGGGTGGCGAGCAGGGCTGTCCCAGCTGTGGTGTGACAGCGGCGCGCGAGGACGCGGTGGCGTCGCGCGCCGCCGCCGCCGCAAAGGTGCCAGGCACCCCTGTCCCTGCATGACTGCACCTCCCAGCCCATTCCAGCAGCAAGAAGCAGTGCCAGGGAGCATGTGTGTGCAGCAGCAGACAGCAGAGGCTGCAGCAGACCACTCGCGCGCGCCGCGCGGGTCGGTGCGCGAGCGGGGCGGCGCCGGGCCCACCCCATCCATGTGCAACAGCAATGCATGTGGTATAGCACCCCTTCTGCAGCCATCACACTGGCCTCCTGCCTCCACAGAGTGCATGTGCAGGGCAGTGGTGCAGGCAGGTGCAAGCCAGTCCAGGCATCTGTCGCGGCGGCAGCGCAGGCTGGCGGCAGCGGCGGCGGCAGCAGGGACCCCCACCTGGCCGGCGACGGCGGTTGTTACGGCGCGTGCCACTGGCTCCAGGGGGTGTGGCAGCTGTCGTTTTGAAGGCGATGCTAGCCGTTTGTGGAGCACGGCGAGCAGATTGGCGGCGATCGGGCCCGCCGCTTGCTGCTGCCGCTTGTAGCAGGCTCCTGACAGCTGCCCCAAGTTGCTGGCGCAGCGCCTGTGCTTCACCAAGCTCTGCCCCAGCGCCGTTCCGGAAGGCTGCCTGTAGAACGCTGGCAAGCAGGGAGAGGGCTTGGATCGCTGGAGGAGAGTGCAAAGGTCAGGGATTGTGCTGCCGTTGGTGCTGGCGCGGGCCAGACAGTCCGGGCAGTGTACCTCGCTGGTGTAGTGCGGCTTGGCCGGCGCCTAGAGGGCCCTGCAATCCTGCCCGCCGTTGTCAGACAGTTGCACACGCCATGCGCCATCGATTGGGCAGCCCCGGCTGGTGCGGACCTGCAGCCGACACATGCCGCCGCCGCTCCCGCCCCTGCCGCAGGTGGAGGCCATGTGGTGGCAGGTCTGCTCAGTGTACTTTGAACGAACATCAGCCGTCCTTCCCACATCCTCACACATGGTGTGTGGGTGAGTTGGAGTGGTTTGTGGGGCTCCTGAGGTGCTTGGCAAGAAGGGCGCCTCTCGCGTCGGGTTGTTTGCGTTGGCGTCGACGTGCATCAAAGTGTGCACAGTGTGCTAAGTGGTGTGTATGCATTGAATTTGTGCCGTTGAAAGTTTGGCTGGTAGGTATGAGTGCGAGGATCCAAAGACCGTCGGTGGTGACAGGAGATTCCACGTCAGCACGTCACAGCTTCGT